GAATTTGACGTCATTCCTCGGACCCCGCCCCCCCCCCCCCCTTTCTTCACCCCACCTCCTATAAACTTATGTTCTCCTAATCCAAAGTCGAAATTTGGGCAAAAATTTCTTCCATTCCAAAAATTTTGAAAATTCCAGGAATTTGACGTCATTTCTAGGAAGTGGCAAAATGCTCGGAATTTCTTCAAGCGACCTCCTATAAACTTATGTTCTCCTAATACAAAGTCGAAATTTGGGCAAAAATTTCTTTCCTTCGAAAAATTTTGAAAATTCCAGGAATTTGATATCATTTCTTGGAACTGGCAAAATTCTCGGAAATTTGTCAAGCGACCTCCTGTAAACTTATATTCTCCTAATACAAAATCGAAATTTGGGCAAAAATTTCTTTCGTTCGAAGAATTTTGAAGATTCCAAGAATTTGACGTCGTTTCCAAGATATTCTGAAAATTTTAAGACATGTAATTAATTTTCATACGAAATTTTTTTTAAAAATTTTATACTTACCTTATACTTACCTTTATACTTACCTTTATACTTACCTTTTTAAGCGCCATAAAAAACATTTTTTCAACATTTTACTTAAATACTAATTTTGAAATTTAATATACTTACCTATTTTATACTTACCTCTTGCAATAAACAATTAATACAGAAGATTTTCATGTGAATGTGATGAAATTTTATCTAAAAAATGAATAATTAATTAATTTTATACGATGTCTTCAAGTTAATCGAAATTATAGTGTGTTAATCGTTAATTAGTAATTGATGGAAAAGAATTTTATATTAAAATTAATAGGAGGACTTACCTAAAGTTCTAGCTTCCAGATACAAACTTGAAAGTTGTGAAATTTTACCTAAAAAACAAATAAATTATTAATTTTCAATACGATGCCTTCGATTTATTCGAAATTATAGCACATTAATCGTTAATAATTGATTGATGGAAAAGAATTCCATATTAAAATTAATAAAAAAAACTTACCTAAAGGTTTAGCTTCCAATTGCGAGTTAAAAAATGGTGAATTTTTCAATAGAAAACGAATAATTAATGAATTTTTCATTAATGGTCCTCGAAATGATGAGAGATATTCTCTTCTCTTTTCACAATGATTTTCTCTCATCTATGATTTCCAAGTATCTCCTTGCACATTCTGGTATATTAATAACAATCCGAGCCTTCTTTGATCTAAACGCGATATGGTGCTGATTTCGAAAAACAATTTTTAAAAACTCTCTAATTTATCGACAAAATTTTTTTTCTAAAATAAAAGCATAAAATACAGCAAAAGTTCCACAATGTTGACAATTTCTTGTTCGAGAAATATCGTTAAGAAGTCTGTAATAAATATGCTGAAACGAAAAAAGTGCAAAAGTGTTGAGAAAATTATGAAAAAGAAATTTTCTTTAAAGAAAAAACGAAATTAAAAAAGTAGACGAAAAATATAAAAATATGAAAATGTTTTTTAAAATTGTGTATAATATATAAATCCTCTGCTATATTTCACGTTTGTTCAATAACAAGTCAGTCGATCATCTTTCTTTTCAAATAAAACGAAGAGACAAACAACGATCCTTCCACCATAATCACTCGTTCAACCGAGTAATTTAACTGGCTGTTCAAACGCGTTTTCATTTTCACGTGATAATTACTTGTACGGTACTTGACTCGTGCTAAAGCCCGTTTAAACACGCGGTCACGCTCACGTCCATTATAAGCCCGCGTTTTACGATCATCCCTCCGCGATGGAGGGTGGCGGTGTTTCGCGACGAAATTTACAACCGTGTTATTTTTCTTCGGTTTCATTCCGGTTCCGCCGCTTCCGTTTCCCACGGACAATAAAGTCGTGGCAAAGTAAAGTAGAACTGTCGAGACGATGGAAGAGGAGCAGGCAGAAGGGAGGAAGGACGGAGAATGGGCAAGAAGAGGGTAGGAGGGTAGGGTGAAATAGGGGGTGAAATGGAGGAAAAATGGGAACAGGAAGAAAGTTTTGCGGAGAAAATGTAGAACTGTGGTTAAAAGGTGGAAACCGGGACGTGTACGGAACGGGATAAAGAAATTCCAACCGTGGATGTAACTACGAAAATAATAAAAAAAGGGAGAGGGAGGGATGACTCTTGGCCAACTGATCTTTGCAATGTGGAATCTACTGGTTCTTATTATTCAAAGTTAACTACAATTATAACTTGGATAAATGAACTTTCAGACTTTGAGTCTCCGGTTAATGATCAATAGCAGTTTGTAAATTGCATGGTAATAAGAATAAAAGTGTTTGGTAGTAATCTTTACGATGTAGGATTCATTGGATTCTAATATTAGAAGGATCCTCTTTGATTGCAATGTCAAGGTGCATATGTCGCGGTCAGTACTTGGATGGGTGACCGCTCAAAAAAAATTCTTTTTCTCTAAGCTTTTGAAGATTTTTCATTAATGTCCAGTAGTCATCCATCATGACTTTTTAATAACATTAAAATTATTCAAGATGTGATTTATAGTTGATTAATTTCAAAATCCCACAATCATTCGATGTATGTCAGATAATAAAAATGAAGATATAATATACGAAATTATATAAAAGAGAGGGAATTAAAGAATTTCAAGAAAATAAAAATGTACACACAAAAATAAAATAAAAAGGAGAAAGAAATGAGACATGAAAGTAAAGCTTTATAAAAATAAAGGAAGAGAAGAAGAAAGAATGATGAAGAAAAGTGATCGAAAAAGAAGAAGGAGGAGGGAAAAGAAGACTATGGAAAAAACGAGCAAAGGAGAGGAAAGGAAGGCTATGAAATACAACTCAGTGGTGTAAGTGGAGATGCCAACCGTCGTCAAGGCAGCTCACGAGCGTCGGGACGCACTTAATGCGAATACAATAGCCGACAGTTGTTGCCGGCCACGGCCAACGGGTTTCTTGCGTCTCGGTTTTTGCAACGGAGGTGCAGCTGCGTGGTGGAGAAAAATCTTTTAACATCTCGACGGGTGATGGTAAGTTCTCTTTCGAAGATTCGAAGGCGACGAGAAAACGAGGACGACGAGTCGTCTCTAATTAGAGGAGGCGAAAGAAACTGTTTCGGTCGGCGACTTTGTCGCTCGACGACGGCTAATGAGAACGAACGTAAGTATGTTGAACCCCTCCCCTTCCTCTCGTTGAATC